TATATATATATATATATATATATATATATATATATATATATATATATATATATATATATATATATATATATATATATATATATATATACCCCAAATAATTTTTTTCGATAAATCACCTAATTTATAGTATATATATATATGTATATATTAGATGAAGTATAATACAGTTTTATGTTAGATTTAAGACAATGAGGTGAACGTTCTGCATTGCCCTCCCCGAATAGCCTCGCTCACATACATACGCACGCACGCACGAACGCACGCAGACAAACCCTCTTCGCCTCCTCCTCCGTCGTCTTCTTTCCTGCCCCCAAATGTCCGAAACCGAGGAAGAGCCATTGAATCCATAGATTGCGATCCCCGACCAAACGCAAAGGAGGAGGGAGATATATACGAAGAGATCGATCGATCGATCGGGGCGCCATGAACACAGCTCTGAATCTCGCCGAGTCAATTTCGACGTCGTCCACCGCCTCGCCTTCGCCGTCGGGGCCGTTCTTGGAGCCCCGGCAGGAGGCGGCTGCGTCGCCCTTTGGGGCCGGGAGCGTGGCGGCGGCCGAGGAGCCCGGGGCCGCGCTCGTCTCCTCTCGGGATGCGGGAGGCGGCGGACCGGGGGGCCAGGACGCGGTCACGGTGGAGCGGCGCGGCCACCACTCGGCGGTGTGCCGGTGGACGGTGCCCCAGTTTCCCCGTGCAAAGGCCCGCGCCCTGTGGAGCCGCTACTTCGAGGTGGGCGGCTACGACTGCCGCTTGCTGGTGTACCCGCGCGGCGACTCGCAGGCCCTCCCGGGCTACCTCTCCCTCTACCTGCAGATCGTCGACCCCCGCGGCTCCTCATCGTCCTCCGGCGGCAACAAGTGGGACTGTTTCGCCAGCTACCGCCTCTCCCTCTCCAACCACCTCGACGACGCCAAGTCCGTCGCCCGCGACTCCTGGCACCGCTTCTCCTCCAAGAAAAAGTCTCACGGCTGGTGTGACTTCGCCCCCTTCGCCGCCGTCCTCGACCAGAGATCCGGATTCCTCCTCCCGCCCTCTGACTCCCTCGTCATTACCGCTGACATCCTTCTCCTCCACGAGACCATTGCCTTCAACCGCGACCACGAGCCTCAGCCACCCCCCGCCGACGTCGTCGGCGGCAAGTTCACCTGGAAGGTCCACAACTTCAGCCTATTCCGTGAGATGATCAGGACGCAGAAGATCATGAGCCCCGTGTTCCCGGCCGGCGACTGTAACCTCAGGATTAGCGTGTATCAGAGCTCCGTTGCTGGGGCCGACCACCTCTCCATGTGCCTCGAGAGCAAGGACACTGAGAAGACCGCTGCGGCCACTGCTGGTCCTTCTGCCCCTGCCCTCGAGCGTAGCTGTTGGTGCCTCTTCCGGATGTCAGTTCTGAACCAGCGGCCTGGGTTGAACCATGTGCACCGCGACTCCTATGGGCGGTTTGCTGCTGACAACAAGAGCGGCGACAACACCAGCCTCGGATGGAATGACTATATGCGCATGGAGGACTTTGTCGGTCCAGATGCTGGATTCCTTGTCGATGACACTGCTGTGTTCAGCACATCGTTCCATGTGATTAGGGAGTCAAGCAACTTCACCAAGAATTTTGGACCTGTACTTGGCAGCAGTGGGGGGAGGGGGGTGGCGAGGAAGTCGGATGGACATTTCGGCAAGTTTACATGGAGGATCGAAAATTTCACGAAGCTTAAGGACTTACTTAAGAAGCGCAAGATCACAGGACTCTGCATTAAGAGTAGGAGGTTCCAGATTGGCAACCGGGACTGTCGCCTTATTGTTTATCCCAGGGGTAAGCTCATTATATGATGTTCACTGTGTCTTTATTTCATGCATTTTGGGAGTATGGGATTTGATTGATGAAGCTATAGGAATTCCCTTTGCTAACTATTCCTTTGTGGTTGCTATAATTTTCTTGAGGAACTGATGATCCGTCCACTTAGTATTCTTGCAGTCAGAAGGGAATTCTGCAACAGTGCGTTTTCTTCAGTGGTTGTTTATTAATCTCAATATTAATGATATTCTTTGAGATCTTAGGGATGATTCATGTAGTACTAATGCTAATTGTACCAAACCATATATGCCCAGTTTGTGCATCATTACATTCTTTAGTAGTTACACTTCATTTTCAAAATATTTTGTTAGTAATCACTCATATGTTATTATTTTATTTACATGCCAATGGGAATTCTTGTAATTGCTTTATTAACGTATAGTGTAATGGTGAGGAAGTACACATGCTGATCGAGTCAACCTTTGTTTTCTCTTACATCTGTGACGGGCACCAGGACAGTCTCAACCTCCATGTCACCTCTCCGTGTTCCTCGAAGTCACAGATTCCCGCAACATGGCAAGTGAATGGAGTTGCTTTGTGAGTCATCGATTGTCAGTGGTGAATCAGAGAATGGAGGAAAAATCTGTTACAAAGGAGTCACAGAATCGCTACTCGAAGGCTGCAAAAGACTGGGGTTGGCGTGAATTTGTGACTCTGACTAGTCTCTTTGACCAGGATTCTGGATTTCTTGTTCAGGACACTGTCATTTTCTCAGCTGAGGTTCTAATATTGAAGGAGACTTCTACGATGCAAGAATTTAGTGACACTGAGCCTGCACTGGTTCCCGTGTGTCCAGCCTCCCAAGTTGACGCTATTTCAAAGAGAGGATCATTCACATGGAGGGTGGAAAATTTCTTGTCCTTCAAGGAGATTATGGAAACACGCAAGATTTTCAGCAAATTTTTCCAAGTCGGGGGTTGTGAGCTCCGAATAGGTACATTGTGTATCTAAGTTTCTTAATTTATTTGACAATACATTTGCTCTTATTTTATAATTTATAGGCATTTACCCTTTGACTAAACCACAGGTGTCTATGAGTCATTTGACACGATTTGTATATACTTGGAGAGTGATCAGTCATCTGGGATTGATTCTGACAAAAATTTTTGGGTACGGTACAGAATGGCTATTGTCAACCAGAAAAATCCTGCAAAAACTGTGTGGAAAGAATCTTCAATTTGCACGAAAACTTGGAACAATTCAGTCTTACAGTTTATGAAGGTCTCTGATCTGCTAGAATCAGATGCAGGATTTCTCATCCGTGATACTGTGGTGTTCATTTGTGAGATCATAGATTGCTGTCCCTGGTTTGAGTTTTCTGATCTTGAGGTATATTTGAATTCAGGAAATACTTGTGTATGGGATAGTTGGAGCCTGTTTATTATTATTTTCTGTCCAACCTAAATTTGCAGTTGATTCTTTCTATCACGAATTACATGCCTGTTGGTTGCCAAAACATGCCGGCATGCTTATGATAACTTTTGTATAGATGAACATGAATAAAGTATAAATAAGTTGGTCATGGTTTTTGGTAATAAACTCTTTTAACTGTTAGATCAACATTTACTAATCTCATGAAGATATAAGTCCAACTTTCCTTCTTATCCTCCTTTTTCTTTCGACCTAGTAATTTCATTTAGGTCAATTTATATATGCTATACAAACATATTTCTCAGTTGTTAATAATCACTTGCTATTAGATTTTGTTTTATTTCTTAGTAACTAAACTTTCCATAGCTCTTAATTCACCTACTTTTGAGTAAATGATCATTGATTGGAAAAGCAAGAAGATTCTAGCCCGTTAGCATATTAGGTAACATGTTGCACTATATTCGTTGTGGTGGGTTAATCAGGAAGCAGGAGCAAATCATATCAAAGTATACATGAGATAAGAATATTGGGAAGGGTAAACGGCATAGGTGCATTCCTGGAAAGGTGGAAATGTAATGATTGAGCACTTGATGGTTTTCATCATTGGAGTTGGTTATTTTATTGTGCATGCATAAGAGTGAGCAAATTTAAGCTAGTTGTACCAAATCAGTGGCAGAGAACCAATATCTGGCTGTAAATAATCAAAAAGGCATTATGGTTCTTGCATTAATGAAAGATGTGACTTCTAGATGCTTAAATATTGGAAAGGGATTCTTGTGGCCAAAACAGAATCTTTTTGTCCTTGTTTTGTATGTATCAGCCAATTAAAATGCTGGCTAGAACTTGATATGCTAAAAAAGAGGATAAGCATGTCTTATTATTCGACAAAACTTTGTGCAGATTGAATCATTTATACTTGTTTTTTTGTTCCTTTAATCAGTTACTATTAGGTTTAGAACCAAAGTTTGCAATTTCGGTTGCCGGACCCATGCCAGTCCATGGCCTGACTGGTATGGGTCTGTTCATTCCAGCATACCGTGTTTAGGAGAGGGGAGGAAGAAGGAAGAAAGGAGGAGCAGGAGGTGTATTGGATTGGGCGACGGGCTTGGGAATGGCAAGTGGCAATAAGTGAAGATATGATAAGTCGCATCACACGAGCCAAACATTAAGACACACACACACACACACACACACACACACACACACACACATATATATATATATATATATATAAGAGAGAGAGAGAGAGAGAGAGAGAGAGAG